AATTTTTTTATCAGCTCTTAAAAATACTGCTGGTATTATCCCCTAATACCTAAATGATTTAACTGATAAAAATTGTTATTTTCCAGATTTTTACTCCCCTTGAGTAATAGTAAATCACATTTTATTAAGAGCATATGCTCAAATGCAGTTTTCCTGAGGCTCSTCCCTCAGGGCTGGGGTATAGAGCACTTCCCTGGCATGTGCWAGGCCCTGGGTTCAAGGCTTAGTACCATTAAAAAARGGGGGAAAAAGAAAAAAGACCAAACAACCTAAGGGAACTTTTAAGAAAATGGTACAGACATACTTACTCATAGAGTTCACACAGATMCTGCTATGCTAGTATTTACTCAGTTCTTATGTAATATACTTTTCACCTTAATAAAAATGAAGAAGAAATGTTCAGTCAGTGGTGGAGCACTTGCCTTACATGGGTGAGGCCCTGGGTTTGATCCTCAGCACTACATGAAAAATAAATAAAGATGTTGTCCATCTATAACTAAAAAAAAAAAAAAATTTTAAGTGGCTCTCATGTGTCAACACAAAGACTTATACAGGGTTGATCATACCAGCCTTATTCATTAATGCTAAATCAACATAAAACAAATGTCCATTAACTGATAAATGGATAAAAAAGAATGTGATATATCCATACACTAGGATGTATTCAGCCAATGACATGAAGTACTGATACATAACATGGATGAGCCTCAAAAATATTATACCAGCTRGGAAGATATAGGCAACCATATAAATGACTCCATTTATATGAAATAGTTAGAAAAGGCAAATCAAAAACAATGTTAAATCCAGGGAAATAGGGGCAGCATGGCTGCAAATGGGCACCAAGGATCTTTTGGAGTTGATGGRAATGTTCTAAATTGGCTTATGGTCATGGTTGAACAACTCTGTAAGTTTATTAAAAAACTGAATTAATGTACTTCAGGCAGCTGAATTTTTAAATTATAATTTTTAAAAATCCTCATTACCACATAAAAATAAAGGCATGCTGTCYRTTTACAACTACAAAAAAAAWTTTTTTTTAAATTTTATTTGCCTTAAATATTCCAAAAACCCATCCATATYAACCTTGGAATTTTAATCTGGGTTGATAATATTTCTCTAAGGGCAAATTCTGATCAGTGGCCAGATCTGAAAAATAAGAACATACTATTGTCATCTGAAAAATTCTATTAGAATATCAGCTTTCTTAAAAATTGTATATAGTAATTCTTAAATTATGTTTATTCAAGTGTCTGCTTCCTAACAGTGCTAGAAGATAATTGCAGTTATGTCTTTACTCAACTATAACTTTTTACATAAGCTCATGTTGAAAGATTTACATTTATTTATATATATATGTATATGTGTATATATATATGAATGATTTAGAATTGAATAATCTGGACACTGTTTTTTTAGGACCAAGAAAAAAAAAGAAAAGAAACCTCAATGACTCCAGCCTGTTTGTATCTGCTGAAGAGGTAAGGCTAATATACTGTTTTTAGAAGTTAGCTATTCTACATTTTTACATTTTCTAATAAACTTTTTTTTTTTTTTTTTTTTAAGTTTGGCCACCTGTTGGATGAGAATGTGGGATCCAAGTTTGATAATATTGGCATAAATGCCATGGCTAATAAAGATAATGCAAGTAAGTAACTTGAATTTTTTAATTGAAGTTTTTAAAAATAGCCTTGTCTAGGGCTATAGTTCASTGGTAGTGGTAGAGCATTTGCCTAGCATTTCTAATCTTAATAGTTACTGTTTCTTTTCTTTACAAGTAAAAGTGTTCCAGGGAAATGAAATCTTCGGAACATTTTTTCCTTTTCCTTCCTTAGTCATTTATTTGTAAAATATTAATCTTTGACAATAAAAACAGGAGCAACGAACAAGGTGTAGGTTTGCATAGTGGGTGGGAAGCCACAGGCCAAAGCAGACCTTAAGTTCCTGTTACTTGGTAGGATGTTCTGTGGTAGTCCAGAGTCTATAAYGGGATTAAACTCATCTTTCTTCTCCTCTCAAAGGTCTCAAACAGCTCAGATGGGAGGCTGAACGTGATGACTGGCTACACAACAGAGATGTGAAAAGTATTATCAAGAAAAAGAAAAATTTCAAGAAGAAGAGGCARAAACCCACTCATAAAACTAAAAAGTAAAGGAAATGAATTATTAAATTATAACTTAAAATTCTACTTATACTTACTCTTAATTTTTGCTATTCAACCATTTCTCTTGATCTTGCCTTCTGATTTCATACATTCCAGACTGTTCGATGGCTTTATAGTAAACTATAAATAAAAGTAACTGCCATTTATAAAAAATCATATAAAACGTTAAACTTTCATTGAGAAAAATAATCTTTTTTCCATATTGCTACATAATTAAATGAAAACAACAATAATATTAACATTTCCTGTGTAAGTTCTAACTACTAATTACCGTAATGAGCACTGATCAAGTGTTATAACATAATCTTGTTCTGTCCTTATAACAATCACCTGAGGATTAAACATTACTTGACAGAAGCAGCTCTGAGAGATAGCAAACTTGAGATAAAACAAATTTTTAAAACTGAGGTTTAAGTTGTGGTTTGCTTCACCCAGATGGGTCTCATTCTACATTCTTAATCGCTGGAAGTACTAAGAATCTGCCCATAGCTAACTCGGCTCTCATCTAGATAACTAAGTAAGAATTTTCCCCACTATGGTCTCAGAAGGAGCTAAAATAGGGGTGAATAGTGTTTTTGAAAACTGACATACGRTAAAATAAAGCCATTTAGTCCTCAGTCATAATTTACTGCAGAATTTACAGATTACCTGAAAAAGTTGTTAYGTACTCCTTTTTACTTAAGGAAAACATACCTTCCAAGATGAAGGGAAATTTCTTGCTCATTGTTTGCCTGAAATCTAATGAAAAAAAAGGAAGTTAGACATGATCAGATATTCATCTTAGTAAAACATAAAGGCACAATTTTGTAATTTAGAGTCTTTATGATACAAAGAGTTTTAAATGTGGTGTAATTTAGAAATGTAAATTTTCATTAAATATAACTATGAATTTTTATGGATGTTATTTTATCTTGACAAGGAATTGGAAATAAAATCATACCTAGTTTTTTAAACTAATACCAAACTTTAATTTGCTTTTAAAAACTGTTGGTATGTTTTCTTTATGCCCTTATTATATATAGTTCACATATATGTATATAGTTTAATATGTATTATTTTATAGTTTAATATGTATTAACGCTGTATAAAAATTTATAATTATCCAGTAGCACTCTGGTACAMAGTGTTCCAATAAGATACTTTGAGGAAGAGAAGTGACACACTTCAAAGATAAGTCACCACCCTACTCTTTGCTTCATTCAGTTTTAGGGCAAGAAAAAGCAGTACTTCCTAATTTAAAATGTTGAGAACTCTAATATAAATCACTTTCAGTGATTGCACAGGGAAGGGTTTTATTGCTCACTATTGATGTATAGGAAGATTACTATAGCCCAWGTAAACTGGTTATCCTGAGAATACAGTGATATTACTTCCCCTGCTTTCTAYAAGTCTACCAAGCAAGGAAATACAATGGGCAGGCTGCTCCCAAACTAATGCTGACCTTCCCCTTCCCACAAGTAAAACCCATAGTTGTGGAAGTTTCCCAAGTCTAAAAACAAATTAGCATGTRAAAAATGTGAGAGTCACCTCATCTACCATAATAAATACCTTGCTTCCTCTCTGCCCATAAAAACATCTAATACATTGRATCTGAAGGAACGTTTCTCCAAAAATGCCAATAGCATTTAATAACTAAAATGCATTATGTCCATCTTGAAAGCATTAACTACTGAATTATGATTACCTTGACTTGTATTCATCTTATTAAACAAAAAATAAGCTCCAAAAACGCCCATCAATTCAGCTACTAAAATTCCTTTAAACATCTTCTTTGCCGTTGATTCCATTTTGTGGGCCATCCTACATTTAACAATAACAAATATGCATAAACTCAAATGAACATGCTTAAATTTATTTTGCCACATCTATAAAAAAAAAACTCCATTCACACAGTGTGAAATACTTTATAGGAATTAGACCCCAAAATTACTATATTGTTTTAGACACATCCTACATACCTAGTTTTCATCTCAATGCCTAAGCAGCACAATAACCAAAGATTCAAGACTGCATAAAGCACAGAAAGGGATTTAAAATTMAAGAAGGCATTATTAAAAAAACTAACAACTTATAAAAATTTTTAAAAGAAGTTGAAGTATGTGCTACAGTTCATRCATTTTGCTAGACACTAAGGATACAAAGTTGAGCAGTAAGTTAACTGCTTCCTCTTCCTGGGGAGATACTAAGTCTTAAAACTTTAATTGCATTGCCCAAGAGGCTCAGCCTGCAATCCTCCACTCCCAATCTCAATTCTGATTCAGCAAGTCTAAGGTTGGCACCCCAGTAATCTGCCCTTTAGTAGGCACTCCAAGTAATTTTTATGCAAGAAGCTCATGGGCCACATAAGGGGGAAAACTGATTAGGTGATGAYCCAATAAGTGGCAACACAGACTAGATCTTGATTCTCTTCCTGTAATTGAAATAAAAACTAATCAAGAAAGTTGAAGCCAGGAGCAGTGACACACCTGTAATCCCAGAGACTAGTGAGGCTGAGGCAGGAGAATCACAAGTTCCAGATCAGCCTCAGCAATTTAGTGAGACCCTGTCTCAAAAATAAGAAAAGGCTGAGTGTCAAGCTTGGTGGTAGAGCACAATAGGGTCAAGCATCACAAAACATGAAAAAAGTTYAGTGGGCTGGGAGTGTAATTCCTAGGTAGAGTGAATGTTTAGCATGYGTGAGGCCCTCAATTCAATCCCCAAAAAGCTTAAAAGGGAGGAAGAGTCTTTCTAATTAGTGTAAAAACTAAAAATGAGATGGGCAAGAAATGGGCAATATGAGACTTATTGAATATACAAAACCTAAGTCCAAGTTCTTGTCCTGCCTCCATATAATCTCAAAATCAAGAATGGGAGAACCACTAGTTTTTAATCTTACATTGTGATTCTCCCTTGTCCCCACCCCCATCCTTTTTCTGTCTGTACAGAGGCAGTTTGGTGTCTTAACACTCTCCAATCCCAGTTGTCTCTCATCACTGGCAGATGCTTACTCCGTTTCTGCCTTCTTTTCACAATACCTAGGAGTAGGGTGGGAATCTCCTAGTTCCTAGAGAGCTAAAAAGTTTATTTAACCTGTCTTCCACCATTCTAGATCCTTCAGACAATTTTAAAATCTTAGTTTTATAAGAGTGTAGGCATCTCCTTCGAATACCATCATATCTTCATCAAGTATTCACCACCCCAACTCCCCACCCAAATAACCAACTCTCATTTTGATAATGTGCTCGCCTAGGGACCAAAAGATTAAATTTTTTATTATTCTTACAAGAAATGAAGCAAAGGAAGTTAGAACTTTGGGTGAGTAGGTGAGAATGGTTTTGTTCTATTCTCTACAATACTGTGCATTACTGACAAAATAAGTCATGCTCAGCAGAGTGCTCTCTTGTTTTTTTATGTATTTTCTAGTTATTGRTGAACCTTTATTTTATTCATTTATTTATATGTGGTGCTGAGAATCAAACCCAGGGCCTCACACATGCCATGGCAAGTGCTGAGCCACAACCCCAGCCCTCTTGGAGTTATTTTTTAAGTTCAAGACAACAAGACCTGCCTGCAACCAGGTCTACAGCTTAAGGAATCCAAGCCCCACCCCACCCCCCCCAAAAAAAAAAGTCGCTGAAAGAGATTGATGCTAAGGATTAAAATAATAATAATAATAATACTGTGATAATAAAACATTTGCCTTTCTTTAAAAATATAAACTCTGAGCTTCARGGACAGAGTTTCTATCGGCTCACAAATACCCTTTGCTTAAAAACCACCAGGGGMGCCCTGACCAGAAAAAGTGGCAAGGGAGCACCTGGGTATTTTCAGCACCAGAATACCCAGGATTGCCAAGGCGGGTGGGGCTTAGATGAAATTTAAAWTGAAGCAATCAGTCAAGCTCAAAGAAAAGAAGGGGTGAGTGTCATGGGTTAACATCATGCTGTCCTGGGAAACTGGCTTCCGGTGCACACGCTCCCTCCAGTGCTGAAGTGTCCGGATTGCTCAGCGCTGTCCCGAAACCCCTGACCTGAGGCTGTGAGTGAAGGCTGCAAATCAAAGTCGCTGATTTGAGAAGTGGCCTACAAGGCCCAGCATCTCAGAGCGACACGAATCGGAACAGCAAGGCCTCCGAGTGCAGAAGCGAAGAGCGACGTTTCCCAGCATCTCGGCCCTGGGCTTGAAGAGCAAAAGCAGTCGCGCAGATTCCCGCGGTAGGGAACCAAGCTCCCGGCGGACGCCTCAGCTCCGCTCCCACCCTCTGGGATTCCCGGGCCTCCCTGCCTTCCGCCGGGAGCTCTCGGGGCGGGTCTGCACCGACACGCGCGCGGTGAACAGTCTGCACCACCCCAGCCAAGGTCGACCAGCGACCCGGAAATGCTCAGCCTCCCGAGCACGGGACCCAGTGACACTGGAGTGTCCGAGATCTCATAACTTGGCAAGGCCTCGCTTCCAAAATAAAAACTTACAAACAAAAATAAACCTGTCCCTSTGGTCTCCCGAGAGTTACAACTAGGGCAGCCTCGCTGGTGCCACCAGCCGCTCTTACCTGAAGTGCACGCACCCAAGCAGCGCGTGCGCCAGGCTGCAGCGCCCGCCCCTCCCGCCGTGGCCCCGCCCCCAGCCAGTCTGGCCGCCCCTGCGTGTCATTTTACCAAGCCCCCACGGTAACCCAGTTTAGCAGGTGCTGCGAGTAGCTCATTTTACAGAAGAGGTAGGAGATTTACCCTGCACACAATCACACATCTTGTAAGAGAAAGAATTCGGATCATTTCTCGGCCTTTAGGCTGAAATCAAGTGTGAAGAAATAATTCGGAGCCAAGAACCAAACTCAGAAGCCTGGGATGAGTATCATCTTTCTGCATCCTAAGCCACAAAGTCTCAGGATCAGCAACATCTCATCGCCTCGGAACTGGACAGAAATGCAAGCCCACTGAACCAGGGTCTGCGGTCTATCCGTATCCCTAGACCATTCCTTTGCCATTCAAAATTCAAGAAGCTCTGTCAGGATATACTGTCCACTAGGGAAGAAGAGAAAGAGATGACGMAAAGGGAGGAGAGGGAAAATGAGGGGTCTATTGAGATACCACGGGTAACACAAAACCTGGAATACCCCAAATATTTAGATAGACCTTCACCGAAGTATAGTCTAATGAAAAGTAAAATATATCCACAAATGACTGGAGAAAAATACACAATGCTAAAGACCTTGTTTCTGAGCCCAGGAAGCCATGAAGTTTTTCAGAGAAGAGGTGATAATTGGAGCTGTTTTTGTCAATACCAGGTGAAGGAAGCTCTGACGGCCTCTGCAACACTCACCACACCCCCCACCCCAGCCAAATCCAAGTCTCCAAGTCCAGCCTATGTGGTTCATTTGTACAACTACCATCAATTATAAGAAATATTGATGCATAAACTATATTAAAGTATGTCATATTGGTCGATAGCACTCAGATCTACACAGATCCAGAGCCGTTTCGCGTACCCACTAGCAGCCCTGAATCAACTTTTCTAGTATCTTCTTAATATTTGTGCTTTGTGCATCCCCTTGACCTGTCTGCTAAAGAAACCATCTCTGGATTGAACTTTCATTCTATTTAATATTTCTTTCTTTAAGACAGCCATAATCTTTAAGGGATCATTCTCATTCATCATTTTTTCTACAATAAATATTTTCATAGCAAAAGAAACCCCATTATGTTCATTAGACTTTCCTTAAATATTTATCAGTTAAAACACTATTCGATAGTAAAGAAATATCATAAACTAGGTGTTGTAAATGATATTTATTTCTCACAGCTCTAGAGGTTGAGAAGTTCAACAACAAAGCATTAGGCAGATTCAGTGTCTGATGAAAGCTAACTTTCTGATTTCTAATATCTTAGTAGAAGAGGCGAAGGATTCTTTTACATAAGGACACTAACTCCAGTCCTTAAGGCCCTACTCTCCTGAGTTCATCACTTCCCAAAGACCCCAACTTTTTAATATCACTTTGGGGGTTAAGATTTCAACATATGAATTTTAGGGGAACACATACATTTATAGATTCCACAATCATGTTTTGAGGCAAGGAACATTTGGCCACAAGGTTTAGAGCAAGAAAAGTGGAGATTCAGTGGAGACCAGGTGAAGGAAGCTAAGGTGATTTGTTCAAATAATTGGGCAGAGGGTGTTTGGGCATGTGGGAGAGACTCTTGTGTCAGATTTTTCAGGGTGGCACTGGTTCTTTTGAGTGTCAAATGGAGAGACTTACAAATAGCAGGTGTAAAGGCTGTTCTACATAACTGAGGGGAGGAGGCAACTAAACCTGCTTTACCCCAGCCCCAGAATGCAAATGTTCAAGCTCCCCAAATCAGAAGTCCAGTTGATCCTCCTCCAAGTCTCCAGCACCTCTCCCAAAGGGTCCTTTGGGGACAGTGCATTCCTGGTCCTATCCTGATTTGCTAGTAGATGGATACCAGTGACTAGAAGTTCTTGTTGCATCATGCAGAGACACAGAAGCTAACCAAAGTCTCCATCTTCTGAAATGACTATAGGGCACCAGAAATCTCCCCATAACGAATATATAGAGGTTCTTCCATGCTCACCTCAGAGAAAAAGCAGCTGGTCTGGAGGATACTGGAGGGAAAAGCTCTTTCATTATCTGACATGAGGCAGCAATGATCCCTCACAGCTGGACACCAAAGGACACCTTCTCAAAGAGGAGGGGCCTAGAGTTTGGGAAGTGGCTGAGTCTTCCCTGCAGAAGACCACAGAGTAGTCAAGAGCAGTGGGCACTGTTTCTGCAGCAGGGACAATGGGAGGTGCTTAGGACCCTGCTCTGCTAGCTGCTGKGCTTTGGAATGGAGCAGTCCTCCATCACCCTCAGTCAAGGAGGTCATGGATTTCAAAACATGCTACCCCCAAAGAGGGCAACTTGGCATTTGAGAAAACAGCAGATGCTGTCTATATCATGTAAATTTTTAATAGAGTTTCTCTGGTTAAGCTGTCTTTTGTCCTAGGGACCTCAGCCAGGAACACAGGATGGGGAAGGAAAAGGAATTTCTCCTTCCTTACAAAGGCCAAAGTAGCATACCAGACAAGCCATCCTGGATCTCAAATGCTTCCTCCTCCACTGTCTCACGGCATCACCTGCCTGGTGGGCCAATCTTTAGTAAAGCCCCAAAAGAAAAAGATTTCAGTCTCTCCCTGTCTGAGGAATTCCAAGGTAAACCTCACTCTTGAGCTACACTGGAAAAAAGCTCATCTCTTGCTAAGGAAAAGAAAAAGCACAACTTCATCCAGAAGGAACGCTGCTGCATAGCGAGGGCCATAGTCAGGGGGGTTGACACTACTGTCCAAACCACGGGCAGTGAGGCTGGCTGTCTCACAGAAACCCGTGCTATTTGACCCGGCTTTACTAATCCGACTTCATTTCAATCACACTAGACTTTTTTTTTTTTTTTTTCCCATCTGTTTTCTCACGAGAAGGTGGATAATAAGCCTGTAGCCAAGAAAAAGAGAAGGTAAGCAGGAAAGATCTTAATGCAAAGGAGGGACATTTAAATAAGCCTCCTTTGCAGCTGTATCCCAGAGCAGTCAGGCTGAGGTGGAATAGAAGAAATAGAATAGGTAGAAGGAGACGAACAGGGAATGAGAGACTCTAACTTCCAATCTAAAAACTCCCTTCCCTTCAACCTCCCAGGCCTGTTTTTTTTTGTTTGTTTGTTTGTTTATCTAGGCCTAAATTCTTTTTTTTTTTTAAAGAGAGAGTGAGAGAGGAGAGAGAGAGAGAGAGAGAATTTTTAATATTTATTTTTTAGTTCTCGGCGGACACAACATCTTTGTTGGTATGTGGTGCTGAGGATCGAACCCGGGCCRCACGCATGCCAGGCGAGCSCKCYACCGCTTGAGCCACATCCCCAGCCCTAGGCCTAAATTCTTAAAACATCCAATAAAATTGTAGAGTATCTCACTTGCTTACAGAATGTATTTATAGACCAAGTAAAAGAAGCCTAGAGAGAAATGTTAAAGATCCATGATATGGGAGCAATCTAATTGACTAGATGATAGCAGCAGCAGCTATGGACTAGATAATATCAACCTGAAGATTCTAAGAAGAACCAGATCTCTGTGGCCCACTCTGTGCTCCACCATCAAAAGAATCAAGTTCATTAGGCTGATGCTACTTGTATGCTTCTCATGGTCCCCATTTACATAGTTTCCTTTAAAAAAAAAGATTGAGACCCCCCAAAGCATGTCTGAMTCTCCATTTCCTGTACCCCTCTACCTTTGAGTGCATATCCTGCTCTAGTATTTGTTTTCCTGAATAAATCTTGCTGTCCTAAATAAATCTCCACTTGTGCATTTTTTTAAAAAATTTTTTAGTTATAGATGGACACAATATCTTTATTTTATTCATTTATTTTTAGGTGGTGGTGAGGATCAATCCCAGTGCCTCATGCATGGTGAGGCAAGCGCTCTATCACTGAGCCAAAACCCCAGCCCTCCACTTGTGATTCCTTTGACATATATTTCTGTGATGTAGGTCAAGAACCTGCCAGAGGGATGAAAGAGTTGAGATTCCCTTTTCTCTTTTGAGGATCTCTTTGGACTCCATCTAGTGACAAGGAAACAAAGTCTAGAAAGTCTAGGCCATTTATCCTTACCGTGGATAAGACAGGTGCTGAAGGGGAGGGCGGGATTTCACATAACATGAGGCCCACCTGCGCTTGTAGATGGGCAGTGCTAATATATCTACTTTCCTGCCCTTTGCCTTCATCATTCATGCCARACAATTCAGAGTTGAGTATGTGGAATTGCCAATTGACAGAATGACCCAACCCTGGGGAGACAAACAAGAATCGAGGTCACATTACCCATCCCAAAGAGGCCCCTAAATCCTCTTATAATCACAGTATTGCTGTCAGAACAGGATCCAGACCATTGTCTTTTTAAATATTTCTCTCACCCAAGAAGCAAGCAAACAATAATCATGTCTGAATCAATGTCTTAAATTCTATGCTATAGGAAAACAAAGACTCTTTGTGTTGAATTGGATAATCCCACTGAGCCAATTTGCAGGAGACCGGTCCTATTCCTTTCTTTTCTGAGAGGGAGATTCTTATAACACCTTCCCAACCACAGTGAACATCAACTCATTATTGTGTAAGACAATAAGGCCTTCAAGAGGGAGTGGAATATACAAATATTAAGATACTCAGCTATTCTGATTTTACCTTTTCACAAGTCAATTTTTTAAAAATAAATATTCACAGCCAGGCACKGTGGTACACCACTTGTAATCCCAGAAACTCAGCTCACATTTCTGAGAGGTCAGCCTCAGAAACTTAGTGAGGCCCTAAGCAACTTAGAACCTGTCTTCAAATTTTAAAAATGGCTGGAAATATAGCTCAGTGGTAAAGYACCTCTGGGTTCAATCCTCAGTACCAAAAATATTTGCAAATTTGAATATATTCAGATATTTGTTCCTAGCTAGGGACCCTCTTTTATTAGTTCTTTCCTCTTGTAAAATAAAGACAAAAATCTACTCTCCCACATCCACAYCCTGCTCAGTAAACTACTTTCTGTTGACATATATATAAGATTTCCTCAATCCTAAGATATATATGTTTCCACATGTTACATTTCTGAAATTAAATGAGTCTTACAATTAGTATAAACATCCAATGTAGTGTTTGGTCAAAATGTTGTTTTTAAATAAAGTATTCTAGAAACCAAAAAACTTCTTTCCCTGTGGTCATAAAAATCTTTCTCTTCAGAAGGTAAGTTCCCCGTTCCCTGGCCTCCAGTGAAAGGGCTGGTATTCTTGTTCTGTAGCAGGTAAAGAAGCATCAGAAAACATACCAGCACTGGGTGTGGTGGCTCATGCCTGTAAACTCAGCCTCTCGGGAGGCTGAAGCAGGAGGATCACAAGTTCAAAGCCAGCCTCAGCAACTTAGTGAGGTCCTRAGCAACTAAGTGAGACCCTGTCTCAAAATAAAAAAGCCAAAGAGGGCTGGAGATGAGGCTCAATGGTTAAGCACCCTGGGTTCAATCCAGAGGCCCGAGGCGGGGGAGGGGGTAGGCAAAACCAAAAAGAAAGAAAAGAAAATATACCAGCACTAACAACTAAATCTGGGACTTCTGAGGTCTCTCAATAGTTGCTGTTCTCACTAGTCTGAGCTGTCCGGCCTGCATTCTGATACCAGCTCCTTCAAGGGCTTTGCAAATTCCAGTTAGTTACTTTGACCCTACAAGCCTCACCGGCCAATTGGTAATGAAGTAACACCAATTTCATAGGTCTGTTAGGAAGTTACCTTACATCATTCATGTCATCTCAGCAGTGTCATAGAGGGTGTGGTACATGTAAGCGTTCAATAATGTGAGCTATTATGTTAACTGATAAACGAATGATTACAGCAAGGAAATGAGGCATAACCAGGAGTTATGCATGGTGAGGCAAGCGCTCACTTCTTAACAGGCTAGAATTGGTTTAGAGAAAGGTAAACGGAGTAAAAGACTATGCTCTTAGAGTTGGGGAGAAAAATGAAAGAAAGGTAATGATGTTGAAAAGAGAATGGGAAGGAAGAAGAAAGGCACAATATGTATTTATGGAAATTTGATTTAAAAAGCTAAAGAGTAAATTTTGATCCAGCAAGTAAACTAGACAGGATATATAGAGTTCAGAGAGCTTCCTGACTTCCTGTCTCCAGCATGATACAGATTTTTCCTTTGCCTGATCTCAGTGTTACCCTGGGCAACAGCTGATTGGTCTGGAAGGGATGCTTCTTTACAAGATTATGACATTATGTAGTTCCTTCCGTAGACTTTAGTCAAGAACTCTGACATCTTGATATTACCAGATTAGATGCTAAAACAGCAAGAAAATGACCAGAACTTGCAGGGGGGAAAAATTAATGTATGCAACAATTCAGATATGGCAGAAGTGAAGTCAATGTTCCAGAAAGTTCTTCCAAACCAAGGGCAGTTGTCTGGGGAATGCGTAATCACAATGGTGCTGTGTAAACCCAACTTTTACCCTTAAAATCTTTGACTCTGGAAAAACTGGAGAAAATGCAGCAAGCAGCACAGGATACAATTCACCATCRAGAAATGTCAGAAAAAGAACACAGCAGCAAATAACCCACTAATGAGAACTTACCATAGGGAACACCCTACCTTATCTACCTACCACTTGATAACTAAAAAAAATCTTCTGCGGCTGTATGCTGAAAGTAGTATTTAATAACACTAGTAAAATTCATAATTCACATAAATGAAAATAAAACCCCCAAGATTGGTACAACTTGTGAATTTAAACAGTGGTTTGTACTGCCAGGTGCGGTGGCACACACCTGTAATCCCAGCAGTTTGGGAGGCTGAGATAGGAGAATCCCAAGTTCAAAGCCAGCCTCAGCAAAAAGTGAGGCTCTAAACAACTCAGTGAGACCCTGTCTCTAAATAAAATGCAAAAAAAAAAAAATAGGACTGGGGATGTGGCTCAGTGGTCAAGTGCCCCTGAGTTTAACTCCCACTACCCAAAAACAAACAAACAAGAAACTAGTGGTTTGTGTTGACCACAAGCAGTTAAAACTTTAAATCAAATCTTACAGAATTTTCCTTTTTTTCATGTTGTTAGAATTGCAAATTGTTCTTCATTTCTACTGCTATCAGTTTTATACTTACAGGCATAAGTGACTAATTATAACTTTTATATTCAGAGGATCTTTACATGTTTATTAAATACCAGAATTTGAAGATAAAAAAAACAAACACACATACACTTCAGATGAAGACTTGTCATAGATGTGAGTCATGATTCTGTGTTCCTAGGTTGTYCAGTAGCCAGGTTTCCTCTGTTTTGTTGATCTACCATCCTCTGARATGATGTTTTTATCCAAATTAATAAGTTTAGCTCTCCAGCATCAGGTCCGACATCCAGATGAGGGAAAGGAAATAGATATGAATTGGAAAAACCATCAACTTCTGTCTTAAGGACATGACCCAGAAGTTGAACATGTCACTTATGTTCACTTCCCATTAGCCCCAGGCCCACAATAAGCTGTAAGGGAGGTGGGAACTGTGGGCCAACTCACCCAAGGGAACAGGGGAGAAGAGCTGCCAGGGAAACTGCTAGAGAGAGCAGRATCTCATCCTAGAGAGCTTAACCAGCAGGAGCAGAACCCAGAGGGCTAGAGACGGGGCCACATTGAGTTCTCCCCCTCACAGAGCAGTTCCCCCTATGAACCATAATGTTCTATTGTTAATAGGTGAAGAAGAGACTTCTAAATCCATTGAGCCCATAAATGGTAGACCTGAGCCTGATGCCCAGGTTGTCCCCCGAGTCCGGGCTCTTGTCCACCTCCTTTATTACACTGCAACCCCATTGCTTCCCTGTCACACTGACTAGGATGTGTGTGGAAAACTGCCCACCAAGAAGAAAACTGGGTTTCATTCTGTRGATGGCTAATAGGAAAACAGTATGCCTGATTCAGCTAAATACCTATTGTTAGATATATAATATGTATTAATCCTCTATTAGAAGATTTCATTCTGACTTTCACTGGTCGGGTTACCTAGATGGTAATACAATCGGCACTCAGGGTTAATATTGCCTGATCCTCACACTGGTTTGCACCTGTGGCTTTCCTTTTGTTGAGGATGATATGTCAAAAGGGGGAAGAGGTGGATGAGAATTAAATGATGAATGGGAGGAGTTCTTTATGCTAACTCCATTAAAAGCAATCCCTGCACCTGGACAGGCACAGAGCAGATTCACTAGCAGGAAGTCAGCATGGCGGATAAGTCCAAATTTATTGAGTACATTGATGATGCTTTAGAAAAATCAAAAGAAACTGCACTTTCTCGCTTATTCTTCACCCATCAGGGGATTCCTTAYCCAGTTACCATGTGTACTTCAGAAACTTTCCAAGCGATGGACACCTTTGAAGCCAGGAGCGATGACATTGTGCTAGCATCTTACCCAAAGTGTGGTAAATAGCCAATCATTTCCTGTAAGCGCATTTTTAACAAGGAGTAGGTTGGAGGTGGGTGAAGCGCATTTTAAACAAGGAGTAGGTTGGAGGTGGGTGCAAGATAAAGTGGGATGAAGACAGTTCATCTTTCCATGAACCTGGCTGGATAGCAGTGAGGAGGGGGGTTTGAGAAGACTAAATACACAGGGGGTAAGATCAAAAGCTAGAATAGCTGGGTTTTTAAAAACCCCAGTGTCTGAAGGAAGAGGTCTGTGTAAATGGCATGGTGGATGATGGGTGGTAGAAGTGTGGGGTGGTGGGGCTGCAGAGGTGAAGCAGGAGGAGGGAAAGTCCAGTTGCCATGGAGCTTGGATAGTGGTAGAGATTTTCATCTTGGTTTTTGACCAAAGGCAAAAGCATGGCTGTTTCTGTAACTTATGTAATGATTTTTGGATCACCGGTTATTTTTCAGGATCAAACATGGACCCTCCAGTTTCTCAGATCATTTTTACAAAAGTCCTTTATCAATGGAGGATGAGATATTAAGAGTCTAAATTACCCTTTTTGATACCATCTATTTTTAATTCTTTGAACTGTTGCTTATTAAAGTCAGCTTCATTTAATATTTCTCTTTCTTGTACCCACTGCTGGGTTTTGATTAAAAATCAAAATTATACACCCCCAGCATCACCAAAAAAAGAAAGAAAATTATATTCTCCTATGGAAAATATTTGTTAATTTAAGGT